TATTTAATTTCAAAATAATTCAGCTTGTTTACCTTTGGTGGACCGCAGTTAAACACATGTTTGACTATTTGGTTTGTCATGTTGCATTCACTTGGTAGAACTGCACATTAAGTCTCTTCTAAAATGAAAATCAGTCTGTCTCATCAAAAAAAATCAGGCTGACATCTTGTAATTTTAGAGAAAAGAGGAAGCCTCAGGATTACATACCTAAAACTTGAAGAATGTACATTTATATATATTTGTTTGCTTTGAACTGCCTTTCACATCCCTTTATTCACTGTTAGTACCAGAAACCTTAAATCAAAAGAATACTGGAAATGTAATGTTGTTTATTGCACCTTTCCAAGCTAATATGAGGTGTAAATCCACTTGAAGGCAACTGAGCCCATCATATTCCACCTCCAACAGGCATTCTGGTTGGATTAGGGTTAGGGTAAAGAAACATTGCTAGGTCTTGAGCCAGTGATTTTCAGGTGTGAGGCAAACACCCTCCTGTTCTGCTGCAAGTTCACAAGGAGAACCTGAAATGGCAATGAATGAGGCACTTACTTATGTTACTTGACATAAAATCTATGACATAAGCTTCCTTTCCAAAAACCTTGGCTTCAACATTTTTTTAATGATCATTTATTTGTTAATGATTTCTGGGTTATGATGCCTGACATTATGAAATATCTCTGCTCAGTAACAACCTCATGCAGGCAGAGTGAATTGCATATTATTCTTGAAAAAATCATGAAATGAGTTTGCATCATGTTTATTTAATCCTCAAAGCAATTGTTGCAGTATTTATTCTGGTCATGTGGAGACCTCTTCAGGATTTTGTTAACCAAGAAAGGGTTGCATACAAAGTTCATTTTCCACTTAGCTGGTGAACGGAAATCTCCTGACCTATTTCTAAAAAACAGCACATTCACATAATCATATCTGAAAAAAAATCTGCCCCAGCCAATCAAACGAGGAACTTAATGATTGATTTTTGAAATAATTCTGTCTGGCAATTGTCCTCTGACACCTGGATGATGTGAAAATCATTCAGATTTGTAAAGTTTTCAGAATCATAAAATTTGGTCAAATGTTTCTTAATTTTTAAAAACATCCAGAAACTATCTAGTTTTTCCACAATGCCCACTATTTTCTAAAAGCTTGTCATTTCTAATAATTCAGTGTTGCTGTCCATGGTTTTTTGCACTGCAGCAGAAACTGATTGTTTGCATGATCTTCAGGACTTGTGGGTAGAGTGTGAAATCATTGGCAGCATTTTATTTGGCGTTCAACATTGTTGTTTACATGGAAGTATTGAAACCAATAGTCAATGAATGATTTGCAATATTGTAAACATGCAGTTAAAGAAGTATCAGTTTAAAGCAAGACGGTTAGCAGAGTCAAAGGAAATCACGACAACAACAGCAACTTGCATTTATATAGCACCCCTCATGCAGGGTAGCATCCCAGAGCACTTTATCTGCATCATCTCCATCACCGCATCACAAATCTTCCCTCACCATACAGGATTTTACACTGAAACATTTGATATTTTAATACAGTAGTGGGTGTGAAGCATGTAAGGGTTAAATTCTTTGGTCAGGACTACCAAGAAGTTCATTAAGGTTCCAAAACAAAAATCCAGTTCCTTTTTTTCTTAGCCTTGGGGAAATATACATGCCATAGATTCTAAAGCCCAGGAGATTTATCTCAGCTTTTCTCCCCCACCCCACCATCACTTTGATGTAGATAGTGTAAATTCACTTCACAGAGAAATTTGTATACTGTCAACAATGTCAGCTAGACAGACCCCTGAAAGAAAGTATTCAACACGAGCAAATGCCAGTTTTTCTGCTGAGAATGTGATTCAAGTAAGAAAGAACTTACATTTGTTTTATAAACGAAACTCTTGTATACTGTGGACCACTAAATGTTCATCAGTAAAAGGTAACTGTGAAGTAACACAACTGATTTGTAGCTTATTCTACACTTTAAAGTAATGTGTGTTTTCAGTATTTTTTTAAAGCTAGTTTTAGTTTAAAAGGCAATTTATATATATAGGTTGTAAAACTCTCTAAGTAATTACTTTAGTAATCAGTTGTTTAATATTTCTCACTAATCCTTTTTTCTAATAACACCTGATAAATTACTTGTATGATGAAATTCTACATAAGTTGTTGAATTCTACCTAAATTGTTGAATTTTTTGTAGGTTATAAAAGAACTTTTGAGGAAACCAAATTCAAAATTAAGAGTATTTAAGAGTTTGCCAAATTTTCTACTCTTTGAAATGCTAAAAATCATAGAGCAAACATAGACTCAGGTGGCAATTTTAGCCCCGATAATAAATATTACAAAGATATTATGCAGTTATTAGTGCAGGTACAGACTAATTATAACTTGGAAAATCATTTGTTTGTTGCATAATAGTTATGTTGTGGTTTACAAATGCAAACCTGTGACATCTTTTCCCACCTTATCACATTTAGTATTGCATTTAATTGTCATGATAAGGGCAAATCACAGAAAAAAGGTAGATTCTACTTCGAATTGTGCCATTCTGTCGTTCTTCTAAGGTTGGAGGTCAAATGTAGCATAAAGTTGCAGCAGCCTTATCTGTGTGTTTATGATTAGAATAGGGAGAACAAAACTCGTCCTCAAGATCACAAGATTGGTCTGGATGAAGAATACCTTTTGGCCCATTCTATCGCATTCCTCCAGAACACCCACCCTACCATCCCCTCATCAGGGGTAAATCAGTTGAGGCTGAAATCAACCTGGGAAATGAGCTGTTTCTTCAAGCTTTCTGAATTAAGGCAATTTCCAATCATGCACACAATATTAATTTGCAATAATGTTTTTCAGAGATGATACATATACGACCGAATCAATTTTTCCAGGTCAATTTTTAAAAATGATTTTAAAGTTTAATGTACTAGGGACCCAACACAATTAGTGTTTCATTAACATTCGTGTTCATGGTTGCACTGTTTCTAGCCTTACTCTACCTATCGTTCCGGGATTTGTAGAATAAAAGATTTCTACTCAAATTGTTTTTAACCCCTTTGATGTCATATTGAGGTTTAAGCTGCATATGATTACATCCTCCATTTGTACAGCGATTTTACCGGAATGCTCAACACACTAAAAAAAATAAAACTCTTTCACAAATGCTCTATTTTAAGTATTTTATTAATTTTAAAACAGATACTTACAAATAGCCATTAAGAGATTTGGCTTCCTTAGATATTTTACATTCACATGTAACAGTGGGTATTTCGAGCATTCTAAGCATTATTTGACAGCTGTATCTGTTCTAAACAATATTTTATTACCTATCACAAGGAGATTCGTGACAAACTAAGCTTAATAAACTACATCTGCATGCTTATTAAAAAAACATAGAATGCAACACTTTAAAAACAATTCTGTCGAACGTACCACTTAACAAAAACTTTCGTTTTACCACTGAGGTATCTGAGACTTCATACATGGAAATTGAAAATAAACTTTAAAATGTAATATTCAATGCTATACAATGATTATACTGTACTTCAGGATGCAAAACACTCAATCCCAGCGCTTGTACCTTTTTGCTAGTTAGCTATATTTCCTATTTGCTCATTATATAATGAATAAAAAGGGAATATTTGATTTCCACAATTAGGTTTTTGCTATGGAAGTATGATACAAATGCTTTTATTTTAAAAATGCAATGGAAATCAGAACACTGACACTGTACATACTGTAATATACAATGTATAGCAATGTGTGGTCCATGAAGGCTATTTCATTGATACATGATATTGGTACATTTATTTCACAACTAAATGAAAAATGATGACACCAGCACACTATTCTGATAATCCTAGCATCATTATTCTGATAGCATTGAAACAGTGTATGTGATGTGATATAGAATTCTAAGTGATAGCAACAGGAAGATTTTGAATAATTCATATGAGTGTTACTGCTGTATATTCTACACCCTGTGCCAACCAAGTGCCTGTTTATTTTTTCCCAAAAGAATTAATGCAATCATAATGATCCATCTAAAGCTTTGATTTGCTAATGATGAAAACAGATTTGTTTGACAAGAATTGTGTCTTTAACAGTTACTGTACTTGTAGGGACAGATTTCATCACATCAAATCAATACCTTCATAGTCCACAATGAAAGAAGTACCCCGTGAAAAATCACATTCAATTTCTTTTTCAATTAATACTTATAAAAATTGATGACAGCTTACTAGATCAACAAAAACAACTTGCATTTATATGTATGAGAGCCCAGACACACCTTTTCTCTCTCTGGTTTGCTTATTTTGTTGCAATTCCACCCCCCCCCCTTTGCATCATTAATACCTCTTTAACCCATCATCCCCTGTCCTCTACTCCATTTTCTCCTTTGTTTTCCTTGCCCTGCCTCCCCTTTTGTTAGCCCTTAAAAGCTTCTTCCTCCCAACATGCCCCAGGTCTGACAAAGAGTCGTGGACCCGAAACATTGACTCACTTTCCTTTCTCCATAGATGCTGCCTGAGCTGCTGAGTGTTCCTGGCGGTGGCGGAGTCCGACACCGAGCCAGGGAGAAGGGAAGGGGGAAGGTGTCCTTAAAGCATGATCAAAAAGGAAGGTTTTTAGGCAGAATGCTACAGATGCTGGAAATCATATTTTTAACACATGACAAAATTAAAACAACATAGCTATGTGGCAAGCAAGGCTGGCTTTGGCTCATACAAATAACTTTCCACATAAAGACAAAAAAACGCTGGTGCACAAAGGAACTCCTTTTGGGTTGTCACTTCTCTCTTTGATTTCCCTCCCCGCGCCCCCCCCACAATAAGGTAATAATAATAATCCTTGCATTTGATATAGCTCTTTTCATGTCTTCTAGACGTCTCAGAGTGCTTCACAGAATATGCTGCAAAGTGAATTGACCGTATATTTGTGGGTGAAATGTGGCAGCCAATTACTCACAGCAGTCAAACAGTCGTGGATTGAAAATGACCAATTTATTATTGTTTTGGAGGGATTATTATGTATTATTATACATTAAGGTAATGTATTGAAAAACACCTATTGAAAAGCGACAGTGATGGTTTGGAAAGTATTGCCCCATTTTTCTGTATTGCATAAAATAACAACTCATAATAATAAAGGAGATAGTAATAGAGGAGCCGAAACATCATTATTCTCACTGTAATGAAGCAAATGGATAAATGACATGCAATGCTCTTCAATCAGTTCCACAATGCGTTCACATCTCCCACAAATTCACTTTACAATATATTCTGTGAAGCGCTTTGAGATAGCTAGGAGAAGTGAATGGTGCTATAACAAACGCAAGGATTATTATTATTTATTATTATATAACCAGAAGGCATTCTCTAAATTTACTTCCTCTTCATGACATAATAAGAAAATTTTGCTCTAGCAAACTGCTGCATTTGGAAAAAATGTTAGGAATATGGTGAGAGATATCAGAATCTCAGAGATACATCAAGGTCCACGTAATGCACTGGAGCACTGGATTTAGTTGTCATCGCTGTTACGTTTCTTTGGCTGATCTGGAGTGGTGGCATCATCATTTTTTTCCTGTTCCATCAGGCGGCCGATTGACCGTTTATTGGACATCTGATTGCTTGAGACAGAACTCTTTCTACGGAAGGAGGACGCTAATCTTCTCCTGAAGTTCTCCCCAGAGAAGAAGTACAAGAGTGGGTCAAAGCAGGTATTGGCCGTTGCCAGACAGAGTGTGACCACCACAGACTTCTGCATATAAATAATTTCATCGCAATTCTCCCCCGCTTGGAAGAGGGAGTGGAGGTGCACTGTGCGTTGAATGTGATAAGGCATGAAACTGACCAGAAAGGCAGTCAGCACAATGATAATCAGATGTATTGCCTTTCGGCGTGATGCTTTCTTCTTGTTAATGGCTGCTGTGCTTTTCAACAAGGACTTTACAATAAACGCGTAACAAATAATAATGATCAGGAAAGGGATGATGAAGCCTAGAATTAGAGAAATGTAGTTCAGGGTCAAAAGGGTTTTAAGACCTTTAGACACAGCCTTTTTTGAAGAGTGTGAAGGAGGTTCGAAGCACTTTGTTTTATTCCCATCAATGTGAGAACCCTTCATCAGAAATGGGGTGCTTGTCAGCATGACAAAGATCCATATCACACTGCAGACAATTTTGGCTTTCTTAATGTTCACTATTTTCAGGTTCTGAACAGGAAACACAATGGCTATGAAACGAGTAAAACTCATTGCCGTCATGAAGTAAATGCTGCAGTACAAGTTGACATAAAAAGCATATGAACTGATTCTACACATGAAACTCCCAAAAATCCATCTGCCTTTGGAGGAATAGTAAGCCACACGCAAAGGCAAGGTACACACGCACAGCAGGTCTGATATTGCCAGATTCAGCATGTAGATATTGAACGCTGTTCTCTGTTTGAAGGTTTTCACAAGTACGTATAATGCAAAACTGTTTCCTGACAAACCCACAACAAAGATAAAAGAGTAGATGGTGGAATAGATCTGATTTCGGAACTCATCAATTGATGGACAAGTGTGCGATTCATTACTGGAACTGTTAGTATAGACTTCTGTCATTTTAGGTGATTTGCGTTGGAAGGAAAAGTCTTCAGATACTAGAAAATGAAACATAAGGATAAAAAACATTAGTTCAGTAGAAACTGTCTCACGAAGACATACATATTGAATCTCTCCAGGTTGTTAATAACTAATCTATTTTCACAAATCTCTCTAGAAAACCCTGTTTTGGACGAGGTTAAACCAACCTCTTGCGTATTTATCAGTTGGAGGTTAAAGGTCCCATGGCCTAATTCAAAAACGGAAGGCAGTTTCTCTTGGTATTCTGTCTAAGAGTCTCCCAGATTTCATTGGTGTGTTATTGCTATGGGCAAATTCTCTGCTGCATTTGTCTACAAATACACAAGTGTAGTGACTGTGTATTTGCAGACATTTGGATGTGATATGGCATTAAATCAAATGCAAGGAATATTATTATTAGTTCAATTATAGTCAAAACGAGCTTAAGCTGAATAAAAACAGCATGTTACATTTTGCAAAGTTAGCATAATGTATTGAATAATCCTTGCATCTGATATAGCAACGTTTGTGTCAGTACAACATCTCAAAGCACTTCACAGGACTTGCTATAAAATGTAGTAATTGGGTATTTGTAGCCAAACACTTTGCTCACAGCAATATGTCACAAACAGCCATGAGTAAATAACCAATTTTAAGTGGCCATGGCACCAGGACCCAATGTGAGTTGAAGTTTCGGTGCAGAGGACCGATCCTACCAATCCTAAAATATAAAGCTTTCTGTACTTTGGTAGATCAACCAAATATTTTTATATTGAAAACAATGGTCAGAAAGGCCTGAAAGGTCAATTTAATTCCTAAGTGTGTAGATGCTTTATATGAGAAACTTTTCATGTTGATTCAAATGAAAGGGAGCTTAAAACCATTCTATTAAATTTTGCTTTTAACATTTCCCTCTGAAAATCAAAACGTTGTTATTTCAATAATTAAACACACACACTGTACCATATAACACAATAACAGGCAGTAAATCTCACACAGTTAAAAATAAAATCTGAAAATATCAATGTAAAACTGTAAAAATCTACAATTAATGTAGAAAACTGTCCAAATCAACAGCAGCCTAATGGGCAACTGAAAGAGGAAACCAGGGTAGATTTGGGGACATGATTCTGTGTGATCTTTTACCAGGGAAAAGAAACATTCCGTTTTATTTCATTAAAACTTATCATTAGATATTATGATTTGATAAAACGTTCCTTATTCATACGGTTAATAGCCAAGGAGAGTCATGTGCCTATGGAATGGAATAGCAAAGTTACTAAATGGTTAACCAGTTACAAGTTTGTCCTGGGTCAGCCAGCAGAGGGAAGTCACAACACGTTACAGAGAAATGTATAAAATGGACCTCTTTAAATTTCATCGCAATGTAATTGAAACTACGAGACTTTACTAATAGTTCCTATTAAAATGGTCATTGCTTTAGTTCCGATTCAAATTTGGTTTTGCTCTCGCTAGTAGTTCAGGTGACTGGTTGATGCATGAAATTGAACATTGAACAATTGAATGCATGGTTTATGCATCATTTTACTTGTTGGTTCAAATAACTAATAATTAACAAGCACCATGAATCAACTTCACTTTGCATTCAGCATCAAACTCAAAAGCTATAACATTTAAGTGATCTAAAGACTGTCACATCTTTTCATACTAGGGACACCATTCTCAGCATCAACAGTGAGTGACTTTACTTCAGCTCACTATACAGTAAATATTTTTGAATATTTAAATACTTTCTTGATTTTTGGACTGCATCAGAAGAACAATTTTAGCCAGGATGGTTTTCAGTTGCCAGCTTGACTCCCAAGGACCAGCAAAGTAACTTCATTGTCAGAGTCAAAAGTCAAATTCTGGAGAAATGTATTTGTAGATTTCTGTACATAACTGAGTTCAGTCTCCAAGAGATGCTGTAGTTAACTGTCTTCAGTGTTTAACATTTAAGCCACAGCAGTTTACATTTCTGTGCTCTGGACACCAAAAAACATTTTAAAAAAAGCATCTCCTCCAAATCCCCTCACATACTGAAGACTGTTTTAAACCTTTTGATTTTTTTTGATAACATTTTATGAATTGAAGTAGTACAACCTAGGGAATTGCTTCCTAGTTGCACATAAAGAAATCACCTTAGTTGATCTGTCTATCAGGTAGACTCAGCTTACATTTATGTGAAGCCATCAATACATAACAACCTGACTGCTTGCACATCTAAATCTACTTAAGATCAATGAGTTTGGCTGGAGATTGTGCTGAATAAAGTTAATGAAAGAGGGAAGGTAAATTTCAAAGATCCTGAATTAACAAATCAATATCCTATTCAAACCATGATTTTGTATTTTGAGAGCACACAGACCTCCCCTTTCCCAGTTTCAAGAGCATGAGTCACTAGTCTGATCTATGTACAGTACTTTCTCACACCTCCTGGCCAGGTGCGAGAAAGTACTGTACATAGATCAGACTAGTGAGGATATGTGATCAGATTTACCCTCTCCCTGTACCTTCTTGCAGCAATCTACATAGCGTACAACATTGTGTATCTCATGACTCCCTCACCACAATGTCCTCTCCTAACTTGATATTCTAATAATACAGTGCAAAGATAAGAGAAGTTAGAAGTGAAGCAATGGGCCAGTGATAACAAGAACAGAATACATAATACTGTTTGCTCCAATGGAATTGTTATATTCTAATTCTGCTATGATTAAAAACAACTTAGAGCTTAGAGTGGGAGTCAAGCCAGAGGCACTGAGATATGCAAAATTGAGTTCCAGAGAATATTTGTGGGTGTTTGACCAACACATATACAGTCAATTCACTTTACAGTATATTCTGTGAAGTGCTTTGAGACGTCTAGAAGACATGAAAAGCGCTATATTAAATGCAAGGATTATTATTAATATAACTTATTATCATCTTATGTTGAGTCCTGTTGTTATGTCAAATACAACAAATAAGCAAAATATAATATTGGTTAAAAGTATTCTAAGTATCTAACATTTAAATCAACACTCATTTATTTGCATATAGCTGAGGGGAAATTTTGAAACAGGATCTGAAGTGTACAAAATAGCTGTGGTCAAATTTATCTAAATTTCTCAACTAATATAGACATTATAAACAGAGGAAACAAAATAAGCAAACAGCTTAATTAATTGCAAAAATTGCACATTTAGTTGAACCATATCCAATGTGTTTTGTAAACTAAAACGGAAACTGTCATATCAGCCGTATCCATTAATACCATTTATGGCATTGCAGCATGAATTTCCATTCCAATCATATAGTATCTTATAAGTAAATATCGCTCCCTTCTAAGCATTCTTTATGTTCTGAATCCAGTCATTTAGCATAATTTTGCTGAAAAACCTTTATTTCAGCAATAGAAGCTTTCCCGGTGCAGCGGTTTCCATTAATAATACTAATCCTTGCATTTGATATATTTCCAGACGTCTCAAAGCACTTCACAGAATATACTGTAAAGTGAGTTGACTGTATATTTTGTGGGCAAAACACAGCAGCCAATTGCAGAAAGTAGTGTCCCACAAACAGTCGCGGATTGAGTGACCACATTTATTTTTTAAGGGATCCGACAATCGACTAACAATCAGGTTCCTACTTACTGCTAGATGAACACAGGCAAGCGGAGTCAGGAAACTTGCCCAATGTAGAATAATTAATTATTCTAATTTTTAAGAATTCAAATACAAATTCAAATTCAAATTCAAATATGTATGTATATAATACATACAGTATATATATTTCACTCAATCATCAAATTTGCAAATCCATTTGCCTTTCTCTGACTCACAGTATAATTGAGCAATCTGGTCTCAGAACTAAAGTTTCTAACTAAGTATCCAGTAATTGGAATGGCTCATAATGTATTATTTGCTGATTCACCATTCTTGCCCAGCAAAAAAGCAATTGAATTCAATTGGTCGCACTCTCACCACTGATTGAGAAGGATGTGGGTTCAAGGCCCAAACTCATATTATTACATGCTGACACTTCAATGCAATTCTAGGAATTGCCAGGAATGACATATTTCAGATGTGACTTTAAAGTAAACTTAGCCTAATCAGAGTATGGGGATTGAAGCTGCTTCACTCCTAGCATACGTGAACATGAAATGGGAAGCTGTAGTGTAGCTGCTCCACATTGGTAGCACTATTTTGTTCGGGAACGTGGCAACAATTTGTGCACAGCAATGTCCCGAAAACAGCCTCAAAGTGAGCTTATCGATATTATCTGAAGGGTTGTTCACCAGGAAACTGGAAGAAACTCCTTTTACTTTTCAAACGGTACCAAGGGATCTTTAACGTCCACTTGAACAGGCAGACGGGACCTCGGTTTAATGTCCCATCCAAAGGACGGCATCTCCAACAATGAAGCACACTCCCAGCACACTATTGGCTATCAGCCTAAACTGTGAGATCTAATTGCAACCACTGATTCATGTGTGAAAGCGGTAACAACTAAAAAAAAAGGTGACAACTAAAAGATGCCTAAATGTAATGATTATTTATATATTAAATGCACCTTAAACTCATTGAACTCTCCAAAGAGATGACATGTCTTTCTTGTTTTATCACTTCGTTTTTTATTTTCTCCTCCTAGCACCATGGACAACTTTCACAGCTCGACAAAGCAAGTATGTAATCTGTTCCGAGAATTTAGAAACAACTATAGGCTGCAGTATGCTATACACCACCTAGTCACCACTCCGCATTCTGCAGCAGTACTTAGATTTTACTCACATGCTCACTTATTTCACCCTAAAATCAAGGATTCACAATGCATTAAGTCACAAGTACAAAGTCTTATGCTGTTATAGCCTTAAACATGTTACAGTGACCTGGTATACTGTCATCATTCAGTGTTTTCAATTACATTCATAATTCTGCTCTTCAAATTTAGAAACCTTGTACTTTCCATGAATAGGACAGAAAGTTAACACAATTTTTGAAACTAAATGTAGTGCTGAAAAAGGATAAGAATGATTCAGTTTGAAATGTATTTTCATATAATCCTTTTTTTTATTTTATCTGGATTACATTACCAGCTCTTGAATCACAATGCTCAAAGCACTGGAAAAGGAGCACTTAAGTGAAATAATCTTTCCTCACACACAGTTTACACAATTTAACAATAAGTAAAGTTAAAGTTGAAATTTAAAAGAGTTTAAACTTTGTAAAAAACGAATTGTTAACTAAGTACTTTCTTTTGTGTCTCAACTTTTGCAAAGTTGAGTTCTGTAGTTCATGACAATTTTCTGCTTTGTTATTACACAGATTTCAGAAGTGTTAGTAATCTCCTAAATTCTTTGTAGATTATGCTTTCTTTACAACTTCTTACCTTATAAGTTTACTTTTCACTTGATCTGTGTTCTTTTTATTATGTTCATAAGAATCCCCGAATGTAAAACTACAATACAAAGAGATCTTGCTGCTTAGTTCACTTTCTGCTTCACATAAGCAATAAATGGGTTGCTGAAGTAAAAGCAGGAAATCCTTTCAAATTGTTTGATTAAACTGTGTTTTGTCAAGGAGTATGAAGTACTAGAGTGATCCGCCCCATTTCACAATAATGAACAGGGTTGGCTACTGATTGCAAGCTTAATTAAGTACAGAGTACAACACAGTTCAGTGGCAATTCTCTAAACATGAAATGAATACTTTGGGTGCTAAGGCATTTCTAATTGAAATTGATTCCGTCACAAGCCTAATCTTGTTCTAAAGCAATTCCTGAAATGAACTAACCAAAATATCTCTCTCATCATACAGTCTAATTTTCATACAATTTCTCAGAATTTGTTTGTCAAAAGGAACAATCTTTACGCAATGTCTTTATGATATGAAATTTCACCATAAAAATGTAATGAAAGCTCGCTATTTAGCAATCATCTTATTGATAAGTCTTAATACATGTGACAAATTTTAAAACATTGTCAACTATTTCACTATTGATGAATCTTGATAAAGAATAACCTTTTCTTATGGTAAAATTAAAGTGTTTAACATTAATTTACGTGTTTAAATTTGACTCAATCTTACTTGGTATTTTAACAGATGGCATAATTATTCCTACCCTATTCCATATCATTAATTTTTAACTAGTTCTTGCCTTTGGCTGTATTCAGATCACAAGAGGTAGCAGTGACAAGAACATTAATTGTCCACTCCTTTCTTATACATAGAAACAGAAATTTACAGCACAGAAAGAAGCCAAGTAGGTTTATGCCACTGCTTCCCCTTGTGTGCATTTCCTTGCTGTTTAGATACTTCCTGTTCGTTCAGTGGATAAGCAATTGCTTAAAGTTGAGGAAGGAAGTGATTGCATTGAGGTTCCAACAGGGAGCATTGAGACAAAATAGCAAAAGAATGAACAAGCTCAGTTAAAGGTGGACTAGGTAAAAGAAAACCAAGACCAGGGTTCTGCTGTTAAGCACTAATAAGTGATTACTACTGAAAGCACTAGTTAGTGGATAATAATAATAGCACTAAGTAATAAGTAATAATACTTGCCTTTTATATGGTAAATCAAAATGTCTCAAGGTGCATTGTCACTGTGTATAGTGACAACTACTCAAATGCCCTCCTCCCCGGGCTCCCCTCCTTCATTATTCACAAAATTCGACTCATCCAAAACTCCGCCTTCCACATTGTTACGAAACTCCACACCCCAATTATCCCAGTCCTTGCCGTACTCCACTGACTCCCTGTCACTCTATTGTTTAAATCTCGCCGTTCCTCCTTTCTCCCTACAGCAGTACCCGCTGCCTCCACTCTATTGGTTCTGGCCTTCTCTTTGTCCCTTGAATCTTCTGTTCCACCATCGGGGGCCGTGCCTTCAGCCACTACGCCCCAAAGCTATGGAATTCCCTCCCTCAATCCCTTTGCCTCGCCTCCTCTTTCCCCATTTTCAGGTTGCGCCTGAAAATCTTCCTCTTCGATCGTGCCTACGGTCACCTTCCCCCTCCCCTGGCTTGGCATCGTGCTCCATCATTGTTAGGCGCTCTGAGATACTGCCCGGGGTGGACAGCACTGTATAAATGCAAGTTGTTGTTGTGTATTGTAGGTGAATGTCCCACAAAGAACCATGGCCATTTTTATTATCTGGGCCAAGACAATGGGTGAAGCTCCCTTCTCTTTTCAAAAAGTGTCATGGAATCATTAATGTTCACTTGAACATGCAGACACAACTTCAGTTTAATATCTTATGTGAAGGAAGACCCCTCTGATAATTCAGCAATCCATCAGCTCTGCAATTGGAGCCTGAACTTTGATCTCAAAGTCCCAATGTGAGACTTGAATCTGCAATCTCTGGTTCAAAGACGATATTGGTACCTCCTGAGCAGGATAGACCCTTGCATGCAGGTGAAGAGAGGTGAATGATCCAATTATCAAATAGCTGGTGGCTCTCACAGTTACAGCTCACGTGTGAAGAATAGCCACTTAGATAAGGTAACCAAGGACTGCCACTGTCTCTGAAATTATGCTTCAATGTAAGTCAATGTCTTCTAGAACAGGTGGCTAAGAAGGGAAAGTCGAAGGTCAGCAAAATATGGCAAAAGGATTCACAGAACATCTGATACCCTGTTTATGTTGCAGGATTGAACCATCTGAAAGACATGTACTCTGCTCCTTAGCCCCATTAAGATTACCATTCAAAGTACATTTCTTTTCTTTGTTCTACCTCTTAAAATGTACCTCTATATTTTGCATTTCTCCACATTACATTCCTTTCAGATAACTTGCCTGGGTCCTCGGTGACTTCTGCATTTCATCCTCATTCTTTGTTCTGTCCTTAATTTGCTAAGTGCGGAACCTTCAAACCGCCTGGAGCACCCCACTGACTTCACCCATCAAAAATTACTCTTCACCGCTACTCTTTGCTTCCTGTTATTAAGACATGCACTGCATTCATCAGATTACACTGTAAATTTTAGAAACCAGACAATGATCAGATAATGATTAACACTTAGCTAGAGATTTAATCTTAAAAACTTAATATAATAGGTCACATAATGTGAAAGAAAAACATGATTCAAATCTCACCCTTCATTTTGAATTTTTTCTTATGCTAAACAATATTTTTCTTAAAACATTTGTAGTTATAGGAAACTATGCAATAATCTAAATTTGGTAAACAAAGAAAATTTCAAACAACAACAACAAGATTCCATTTATTGAGCGCCTTTCACGTCGGGAGGACGTCCCAAGGCGCTGTACAGTTGGGTCAGGACCCGAGCAGGGGGTAAATGGTCAGGGTGAGGGGAGGGAAGGGAGGGAGCGAGGAGGGGGTAGAGAGTCGAGAGGGGAGCTGAAGGCACGGTCAAAGAGAAAGGTCTTGAGACCGGCCTTGAAGGAGGAAAGGGAGGAGGCGGCGAAGGCACTGGGGGATAGAGTTCCAGAGCCTAGGGGCTGAGGGGCTGAAGGCCCGGCCACCGATAGTAGGGCGGTTGGGGCGGGGGATGTGGAACAGACCGAAGGCAGAGGAACGGAGAGTACGGGCGGGTAGGTAGGGTGATAGTAGGTCGGAGAGGTAGGAGGGAGCAAGGCCGTGAATGGCCTTGTAGGTGAGGGTGAGGATCTTGAATTCGAGTCAACTTAGTATAACAGAATAACTTTAATCTTCAAGCTGATTTCTACATAAGAGTTGAATCCTTCTTTGGGCATTGGTGTTTTTCAATATGCGATCTATGTTTCCGGATGCTAATGTTGTGTGCAATAACAATTACGAATGAAACTTTACTTCTCTTTAAAGATGCCAGTTAACTTTCAGTACTGTTTCCTTTGCAACTAACAGCAATGTACATTTAGATGTTAAACGTAAGTCAAAAAGCCCATGAACCATTTTCTCGCTTATTCAAATGGAGAGAAAATTGAACCAAACTCTTTCTCTTTTGATAGATACTTTAAAGAAAAAAAACTTAAATAATGAGGAGAAAAATTGGGGTGAAATTTGTTGCATTTCATATTTGATATGCTGTACTCTGTCCAGCACCTTGGGACGTCCTCCTGACGTGAAAGGTGCTATACAAATGTAATCTTGTTGTTGTTGTTGGTGGTGGTGGTTATAATACATTTGGAGATTATAATACATTTTATGTTTCTAATGCACTGATGATAATTATCACGTTGAGTTATCACATTTGAAACGATGTCACCTCAATGTCACAATGGTATGAATATAATCAAACCTTTCTTTAGGTTGCCTCTGATCCTTACATCCAATCCACGCCGTAAAAAAATCATACAATGAATAAAACAGGAAACTTGCCTTCACATTTTCAAAAAATGAAGACAGTATAAAAATGGTATAGAGAGATAGGCATATATATTGTTCCAGTTTGCATAGTTATTGGTTAGGAAGGGAACAAAATGTTGATCCAGCCACTCCAAGAAAGATGTGTAACTTTTTTGAAGAAACTCTTGCTTCCGGTTATTTCACATCTCTTTATGTTCACGAGAATTCAATCATATTAGGTTTTGCCAGAGCTCTGCAAATGTAAATCACATTTATTCTAGAAGTCTTATATGGATACAAATAAGATTTTAAAAAATTGTCAGGTTCCCAGTGTAAATATCCCATAAAGAATTTTACAGAGGACCCAAGTTTGATATCAGATGAATAAGTGCATAGTGTAAACCAACAAAAACAGCCAGGAAATGGCCACCACAAATAATTTTAGCTGAAATAAGCAGGAAGTAGCATGTTTCACACATACTTTAACTTTTAGATTGATAATTGCTTGTATTCAGAGAAGTAGCTAAATTCATCCATGTAAAAAGGAGAACAAAATTGATGTCAGGGATAAAGGAATATAGGATCAGGAGCAAGCTGATTAGCTTGATGAGCCTATTCCACCAGTTTATTAGATCCTATTTCACCTCCTATTCTCCACATCCTAATATCCTTGCTTTTCAATTACATTTCTCACTGTTAAACATCAAAGTGTTTCTGACCTTGCTCAGATTCAGATCAGTCATTGGTGTCACAATAAATGTTGAAAAAGAAAGCATCTCAGAGTCTAAGCATGTTAATGTAATCCTTCAATACTTCCAGACCATAGATCGCTGCTGAATATGAAAGGAGTATGAGTCATGGCTTCATTAGTAAAGGCTTTGCAAAATTTCCAGTCTGTGCTGGAAAGGACTTCAGCTGTAGCAGAGCACTACAATTGGGTTTCATTACTGGGCCTCGGTGATCCCTCCTGAATTCTGATCACTTTTGTTCACCTACCTAACCAGATAACTTACACATTGCAACTTGTAATGGTTATATTATTTTTGTTTTTACATTGCAGCTTTGCTTAGGATTATCATGAATATTCTATTTTCGAAAAAACCTTGTAATTTTGCTCACCTACAACAACAACAGCAAAATTACATTTATAGAGCGCCTTTCAAGTCGGGAGGGCATCCCAAAGCGCTGAACAGTCAGGTGTCGGGCCCGAGCATGGGGGAGGGGTGGTGCAGGGGTGAGGGAAGGCAGAGAGGCGGGAGGGAGA